CATTGGGTACCAAGATTTGCTTCGTAGATTCATTAAGGAAGGTGTGCTTGAACACTTCGACTTGAGTTGAAGTAGATGCGCCAAGCACATAATTGGGTGAAGCATCAATTAAGGGGGAAGTTGATTCACTTTATTAATTCCAACTAATGTTGATTTATATTTTAGTTGGACAATGTGATATTATTTGTTTGTTTGATATATCTATTTGCATGAGCATATATCTTTTTTGCCCATCTCTTTTTGATAATGTCAAAAGGGGGAAGATGGTGTAGATATGCATATATTCAGGGGGAATTGTATTTGTGCATATCTTAATGGGGAAGATAGTATAGATTTGTATGTCTTTGTTTGATTTTTGATGCTATACTTGAGGGGGAACTAGCCTTGTATGATGCATATCTCATAATGGGTTTGTCATTATCAAAAAAGGGGGAAATTGTTGGACAATGTGCTATCATGAATATGTATTTTTGCAATGTCCTTTGCCCATTGTCTTTTAGGTTTTGATAATGACAAAAGGGTGACAAAACATCATCATCATTTTGTGCATCAAGGCTAAGAATTAAAGCTACAACAAGTTCATATCCGTCCGTGAAAAAGGGACTTGAGCATCGGTGGAAGGAACGAGACCGAAGAGGTTGTTTCCTTAGTTGGGTAGTGTTTTAGGTCTTAGATTATGTGTTAAAGAGTATGGCATCTCTAAGGTTCATTCCCTTATCATCCTACCTTTAAAACACATTTTTTTCAGCAAACTATTCGAATAAGTTGAAAACTATTCGAATAAATCCTTGAACTTCTATTCTGACTTAGTTGAATAAATCCAGAACTAGTTGAATAAGTCAGATTGCAGTTTCACCAAAACTAGTCGACTAAGTCTTGACTTAGTCGAATAGTTCGACAGTTTCAACTACCAAACGGCTAGTTTTTTGAATGCTTTTCATCCCTATCCACTCCCTAACTTCTATAAACTACCCTATCTCGTGTTTTTGGCCAAGAATATACATTGAAAACACTTCAAAACATATCCTTTGAATATCCAAAGAGATTCTACTCAA